TTTTTTTTTTTTTGAGACAGAGTCTTGCTTTGTTGCCCAGGCTGGAGTGCAGTGTGTGATGGTGGCCTACTGTAGCCTCAACCTCCCAGGCTCAAGCAGTCCTCCCACCTCAGCCCCGCAAGCAGCTGGGACTACAGGTGCATGCCACCATGGCCAGCTAATTTAAAAAATTGTTTTGTACAGACAGGGTCTCACTCTGTTGCCCAGGCTGGTCTCAAACTCCTGGGCTCAAGGGATCCTTCCGCCTCAGTCTCCCAATGTGCTAAGATTACAGGTGTGAGCTGCCACGCCCCAGCTGGAAGTCATCTTTGATATCACATGCCTGAGACAGAAACCAGCTCTGAGAAAAGGAGTCTATGATAAGGGTGAGACAGTTCTGGTGATACCATTGAGCCTTGTGCCCAACTGTACCTTACTTAAGCTGGCAATTCTCAAGCTTTTTGGTTTCAGGAACCCTTACATGCTTAAAAATTATTGAAGACTCCAAAGAAATTTTATGTGTTTTGTATCGACCAATATTTGCTGTATTAGAAAATAGAAAAGAACATTTTAAAATACTTATATATTAATTCATGTAAAAATAATGGTAACTCCTTTACATGTTAAAGTAACATATTAATATTTTTATGAAAAATAATTACATTGTCTCAAACAAAAAATATTACCAAGAAGAATGGCATTGTTTCACATATTTGCAACTCTCTTTAATGGTCAGGTTAGTAGAAGGTGGTTGGATTCTACTATCTGCTTCTGTATTCAATTTGTTCGCTATCACATGGCATATAGCCACTGGAAAATTCCACTATACATTTTTGAGAGAGCAAGTGGGAAAGGTAAACAATGTCTTAGTATTATTATGAAAGTGGTTTTGACCCTGAGGACTCTTATCCTCCCAAGTTCCTATGGGGTCATAAAACTGGTAATTGTAGGAGTGGGGTGGCTTTAGGCCACCATGAGCAGACACAGCCAGGCCTAAAGCCACCCCACTCCTACAATTACCAGTTTTATGACCCCATAGGTACCTGTTTGTTTTTTCCTTAAACCAGCTGGGGTTGAGTTTCTGCTTCCTGCAACTGAAAGAGTTTGGAGTAACACACCAGGAAACCCCTTTGTGGTTTTTCCTGGTGTGGGAGAAAATTTAGAGAGGCTTAGCACAGTACCACAAATGAAGCTTCACATTGTGTTTTTCTCTCCATTACTTCTCTCCTTCCTTCTGCCTCTAACTTAGAATTACTCCTACTTTCTTGATCAGATTCTTCCCTTCATGACAAATAGATGCAATGTAGTTTACAACTTTATTTTCTGTCTCTATACGAAAAATTCCCACTGTGAGTTATTGAGCTCATATTGCTGTTATTGGGAATACGGCCCCAGAACAGAAATCAACTCTACCGCTTGTTGAGCATCCCTACACCAAACAGTCTGTTAAATGTCATCTTCCTAATCACTGTTTTGACTTTTTAGCAATTACACATTATTGTATTTGTTAACAGCACTGAAGGAAAAATTAAGTAGATCTTTTGAAAATTCCCATTTCTTATTTTAATTTTTCTTAGTAGTCCCTAATGTTTTTCTCTTTATTTTTTGCTAAAACTTTTAATGTGATTGTCAACTTACTGCATTTTAAAAAATGCTTCTAGATTGAATATTTAAGAGAGTGAAAAGTCACTGGGTTATCTCTGAAAATGAAATCACAGCGACATCTACTGGCTATTCTGGCTCACTCACTAACAGTAAAGTAAATTAATTGTAGACAATAAATTGCTTTTTTTTTTTTTTTTTTTGACACAGAGTCTCACTTTGTCACCCAGGCCAGAGTGCAATGGCGGTCTCAGCTCACTGCAACCTCTGCCTCCCGGGTTCAAGTGATTCTCCTGTCACAGCCTCCCAAGTAGCTGGGATTACAGGCACACACTGCCACACCCGACTACTTTTTTTTTGTATTTTAGTAGAGATGGGGTTTCACCCAGTCTGGCAATTCTCAAGCTTTTTGGTTGAAACCAGCCTGCTGGTCTCGAACTCCTCAGCTCAGGCAATCCACCCGCCTCGGCCTCCCAAAGTGTTGGATTGCAGGCATGAACCACCACGCCTGGCCTAATAAATTGTTAAATTAGAGGTTTGAAAGTTTATTTAGACTTTCTTAGAAGGCCTCAGAACAATCCTAAATAGACAAAAATCAATCTTATTTTAACGGTTGTGCAATTTCTCTAGGCAGCCTTTCACAGGCATAAAGGATCATGTCTTCATGTGTCTCCTTAAGATTGAGGATCAAAGCATGATGTCAGCTGATTTAAAAAAAAAAAAAAAAAAAAAAACACTGGGCACGGTGGCTCATGCTTGTAATCTCAGCACTTTGGGAGGCTGAAGTGGGTGACTCCTGAAGTGAGGAGTTTGAGACCAGCCTGGCCAACATGGTGAAAACCCATCTCTACTAAAAATACAAAAAATATTAGCGGGGTGGGGTGGTGCATGCCTGTAGTCCCAGCTACTCAAGAGGCTGAAGCAGAACACTCACTTGAACCTGGGAGGCAGAGGTTGCAGTGAGGGGAGATCATGCCACTGCACTCCAGCCTGGGTGACAGAGTGAGACTCTGTCTCAAAGAAAAAAAAAAGAAAAGAAAGATTGAGGAAAACTTTCCCAGCTGATATTCCCTCATTTCTCAACGCCATGAAGTGGATTAAATGCTTTCTCTGAAAACAGTCACTCGGAAGACGAATGAAAAAGCACAAAGATTAGATTTAAATGAATCAAGATCTACCTACTAGAACTTCCCCTGAAGCACAGGGCTCTGTAGAATGTTGTGTTCAATACCGGGGTTCTCGAGAAAGGAGGAAGAGAGGATAGATGCTGAATATGCAATTTACAGCATTTGCTTCACCAAATGTCATAAGTTGGTTGCAAAACTATAAAAACACAATCAATTCAAATTATTTGGGAATGATCTAAATGCTCCGTGTCTTGACTGAAGCAGTAGTTTCACAGGTGCATATATGTATGCCACAACTCATCATATGGTACACTTTAAATGTATACAGTTTATTGAATGGAAATTATAGCTCAATAAAGTTAATTGTTTTTTTTGTTTGTTTTTTTGTTTTTTTGAGACGGAGTCTTGCTCTGTCGCCCAGGCTGGAGTGCAGTGGCCGGATCTCAGCTCACTGCAAGCTCCGCCTCCCGGGTTTACGCCATTCTCCTGCCTCAGCCTCCCGAGTAGCTGGAACTACAGGCGCCCGCCACCTCGCCTGGCTAGTTTTTTTGTATTTTTTAGTAGAGACGGGGTTTCACCGTGTTAGCCAGGATGTTCTCGATCTCCTGACCTCGTGATCCGCCCATCTCGGCCTCCCAAAGTGCTGGGATTACAGGCTTGAGCCACTGCGCCTGGCCAGTAAAGTTAGTTTTTAAACAACTGAAGGACTTCATGGACAAATGAATAGATAGCCCAAATGCAGAATATACATGCAATGAAATATTATCCAGACTTAAAAATCAATGAAATCTGTGATCTATTGAAAGTCAGCCCTTGACACAAGGATTTGTAATACTTTTTTATTTAAAAAAATGAATGAAATTCTGATATATGCTACTACATAGATGAACCCTGAACACACTATGTTAAACCAGACACAAAAGGACAAATATTGTATGATTCCATTTATATGAGATACCTAGAGTAGTCAAACTGACAGAAAGAGAAAGTAGTATGGTGCTTTCCGGGGATGAGGGACGAGGGAATAAGGAGTTAGTATTTAATGGGTACAGAGTTTCAGTCCAGAAAAATGAAAAAGTTCTGGAGATGGATGGTGGTAATGGTGGCATAACAATATGCCTATGTGAATGCCATGGAATTATACAATTGAAAATAGTTAAAAAGATAAATTTTATGCTATGTATATTTTACCACAGTAAGTTTAAAAAGCGCCTGTAAAAGGTAAAGAAATGTAAAACATGACACTATGATTAATTAGATCATTATTCATCACTTAATCATGGTAAGCATGGTTGTAGTGAAAAGTCACAAAACTGCCAGATGCATAAAGATCCAGATAATATCTGATGGCACATACTTGATATTAGATCCCTGACAGAAGTCATAACTGTTATAGAAGTCATTGTAGTAGGTTATTATTTTGAAACTGTTAGAAATATATCCATAAACTCACACTATTTCTTCCTAAATAGAATCAAAAGATCTTAATAAGAATATAACTCAGCAAAAGCAACAGCATTGAGATCTTAAACAAAAGACAGTTATGATAAAGGATAAGTTGGCTTCAAAGATGCTAATGACAATGATCTCAATAGCAAGAACAAGACCTAGAGGAGAATAGGCAATCTCCCTTTATTAGCTATCTGACTTCCATCTGCTACTTCTATCCCCTTTCTTCATCAGTCTGTAAAAGAGTTTGTCAATTTAAAAAAAAAAAAAAAAAAGACTTGTACTTTTAAAAACCCACATCAGTGTTGGGGGAGAGAATGATTCCAAGGAACACAAGGAACTTTCCGGGGAGACAGAAATCTTGATTGGAGTGTTCGTTACTGGGTATATACATTTCTCAAAACTCAACACTTAAAAGCACACTTAAACTCTCTCCCAGGCTGGGATATCATCTTCTCCTGCCCTGGGACAGTGTCTCCCCTAGCTCTCAGGCCTTTAAATTTAGACTAAATTACAACACCAGCTTTCCTGGGTCATCAGCTTGTAGAGGGCATGTTATGGCATTTAGCCTCCAAAATTGTGTGAGCCAATTCCTGTAACAAATCCCCCTCCCCCATCTCTCTGTCTCTGTCCCTCTCTGTCTTTTTCTCTCTCTCCCTACTCTGTAATAAATACCCCCACCTCTGTCTCTCTCTCTCTCTCAATTTATATACACATAAAATTGAGGATTTTTCAGACCTTTGAAAGAAACAAACCAGAGATTCAAAAAGCCCAATAAATTATAGACAGGACAGTAAAAATAATTACACACTAATACAACACAAAGAAAAGAACTTACATATGTTTTCTTGCTTTATTCATCTGTTTATTTTTTGGTTGTTTACTCATTGATTTTCTTGTTTTAAAACATGTATTTTCTTTGCTGTTGAAGGTTTCCATCATGTTTATACCTCTACTAATGTTACCTTTATTTAAGCATTCCAAAACAATCTGTGAATCAAAATTTATACGCTGTCAATTTGAATATTTTCCCTTCATAGAAAATAAATGGTTAATCTTGTACTACTTCCATTTTCTAAACCCATATCTAAAAGGCATTCGTTGGTTTTGTCTAGGATTGTAAACTATACCATTGTGATAACAATATAAATGATTTTACTGAAGATTGTTATTTATTTATTTATTTATTTACTTATTTATTTATTTTGAGACAGAGTCTCACTCTGTCACCCAAGCTGGAATGCAGTGGCGCAATTTCGGCTCACTGTAACCTCTACCTACCAGGTTCAAGCAATTCTCCTGCCTGAGTAGCTGGGATTACAGGCACACACCACCTCGCCCAGCTAATTTTTTGTATTTTTGGTAGAGATGGGGTTTCACCATGTTGGCCAGGCTGGTCTCAAACTCCTGACCTCAAGTGATCCACCTGCCATAGCCTCCCAAAGTGCTGGCTGGGATTATAGGCAAGAGCCACTGCGCCCAGCCTGTTATTCTTCTTTTAAATTTTTATTTTTAAAAGAAAATAGAGACAGAGTCTCTCTATGTTGCCCGAGCTGGTCTCAAACTCCTAGTTTCAAGCAATCCTCCTGCTTCAGCCTCCCAAAGTGTTGGGATTATAGGTGTGAGCCACTAGGCCCGGCCAAGATTGTCTTTAGCATTCTATTAAATATTTTGTCATCATATCGACAAGAAAAAAATCTGATTTTTATGATTTCCACATACAAAAAGTACACTTAAAATGAATAAATTGGCTGGATGCAGTGGCTCATGCCTGTAATCCCAGCACTTTGGGAGGCTGAGGCAGGCGGATCACAAGGTAAGGAGATTGAGACCATCCTGGCTAACACAGTGAAACGCCGTCTCTAATAAAAGTAAACAGAAAAAAGAAAATAAATTAGCTGGGCATGGTGGCGGACGCCTGTAGTCCCAGCTACTCAGGAGACTGAGGCAGGAGAATGGCATGAACCCAGGAGGCGGAGCTTGCAGTCACAGCTCTCCAGCCTGGGCGACAGAGCAAGACTCAGTCTCCCCCCCAAAAAAAACTGTATTGGAAGTGAAGTATAACTCAAAAAAGTTGAGTTTTAAAACTGCAATCGGCTCCAAAGAACAAAAACATTTCTACTCTTTAAATTAAGATGGCATATGAAAAGTCTCCTTTTAAAACTAATTCAAAAGTAGTCCCATATTAGAAATTACTCACGCTGCCAAGATACGTTCCCAGAAATACAATCACAATTCCTCCTGGAAATGCTGTTCCTCAGAGTCACGTGGCTGCTCCCTGCCTCCTTCAAGGTTCTGCTCACACCTGGAGGGGCTCCTCTCGGCTCTGTTTCCATACTGCAACAGTGAAACAGCAAAAGAACTAACATGACTAACTCCATTTTTTATTTAAGGGGATACCCATTCCTGCAAATGGGCTAGGATAATTTTAGAACACTAAGATACAATGCAAAAACTGCAATCATGTAGTCTTAGAAACTAACCCTAGGATTAAAGAAGTAGTATATAAACAGCTATGTTTTGTTAGATTTACAGAAACAAGGAGGTTTGGTTATTGTTACATGAGAGAATGTTACCCAAGGACAAAGAAGTTTCACAAACTTCCCCTGGACCCTTGTTGGTGCCCAGATGTCTGCGGTTCCCTGTCACTTAAACATAAAAGACAAGGCAAAGCTCGCATAATTCTAAGATGGTTCTTTAGGACATTGGTCTGCATCTTCTTTGTTTCCTGGCTCCCCAAAATAAAGTCGCTTTCCTTCCTCCACCTCCTTGTCTCTTGACTGATTGATGTCATGTGGCAAGAACAAGAAGTTTGGACTCAGTCACAATCCATCCCACACTTCCTTTTCTCCTTCCCTGCTTCCTTTGTCCCCATGGCATTTACCACCTTCTAGTACATTAATTCTGTCGTGGTGATTATTTATGATCTGTCCCCCACCACTGAAATGTAAGTAACATGAGGGCAGGGTTTTGGTCCATTTTGTTCACTGATGTTCCTGATACACAGTTGGTGCTCAATAAATATTCATTGTTTGAACTCAAGCTTTCTAATTAGATATATTTCTCTCCTTGTGTTGCTGGTAGAGAGAAGAAAGTCAGAACATTAACTACATGGTCTTTTAATATTTTATGCTCCATGTACTTGAAAAGAAAAAAAACCTTTTTGTGTGCGTCCAGGGTACAAGCACAAAATGAGACATCAATGGAAACCATGTATTAGGTATGGAAAATATTTTTCTGTCATTGAACACTCATGTTTTGATATAAAAAAGAAAAAATTAGAAATTGCTTTTCGTGTAACCACAAAACCTAAATTATTTACCTTTCCATGTAATACTTATTATTTCCTGTTAAAATGCTCGATTCTGTAGGTAATCCTAGATCTCTCTGAGCCAATATATGGATTAACTTAAATTACAAAGATATGATAAACAATTTTTGTCATTTAATCTATTTTTATTAAAATTTATAGCTACATTATTTAATGTAAGACTAATATTTCTAATTAACTTATACATAAAAAGTTATTTGCTGTAGGTGTCTGCACAATGTGATTGCTAGTAGAATTAAACGCCGCAGGCTGCATCTATCAGACACTGGCCTTTCTGGACGCGTTCCATTTGATCGATAATTTGGGCAGCAAAAATCTGATAAATTTTATATTAGAGATAACGACAGAGGGTAACTGTAGCACAGCGGAGGGAACAAGTCTCCAGAGGCAGAAGGGTCAGCTATGCCGAGAACACGTTTGAACTTGAAAAACATTCGGGGACTGAGAAAACAGAGCTGCAAAATGTGAATTCTGTTAACTTGAAATGTTCAAACTGGAATGTGAGGAGTGGCAATGGGAGGTGGGTTTGAGGTGGGGTGAGGTGGGGGTGTCAGAGGAGGAGGCCCGGTGGGCAACACCAGATTGGGCTTGACTCTTAGGCAGGTAAGAGCTCGGACTGGTGCGGGTCAGTGAGTTATCTGGGAAGACCACGGTGGGGGCAGCTACGACAGTGGTCCGAGGCGCTGGGGTGGGGGCAGCAGTATGGCCGGAGACCAGTTAGGAGGCTGTGGGAGAAGCGGCAGAAGGCGCCGGGCGCAGGCCCGAACCCAGGGTAGTTTCTGGGGCAGGGCTCCAGGATTTGTCTACCGGCTGGGTCCACCCCCGCTCCTTAGGGCGCCCGGGTGGTAGTGGGGACTTTGGCGCTCGGTTGCCCCGGAGACGGCGTCCGGCGGGCGGAGTCGCAGGCGCGGGAGGGGGTCCCCGCCTGATAGCGACCAAGAACCCCCCAAGCACCCCCCTCCTACCCTCCCCCGACTACGAAGCCTCGCAGAGCGTCCTAACCGTCGCCCATGCGGCTCGTGCAGACCTGGCAGCGTCCCGAGCGCCGCAGCCGCGAGGAGGGACGGGCGCGGGGGAGGGGCGCGGGCAGCTTCCGGCGCCGCCGCTGAGGAGGAGGAGGAGCCGCCCCCGCCGCCTCCGCAGGCCTTAGGGGCGGAGAGTGGGGAGCCGCCCCGTCCCAGCCGCCAGGTCGACGCCGGTGGGGCCGCTGCGCCCGCCGGCGCCCCGCGGAGATGCGGCCGGTGTCTTAGGATTAGGTGTTGGTTGCAGGTACAGGCGGGGCGCGGCCCGTGAGACGAGGATGGTGGGGTGGGAGTGGGGTTCTTCTGAGGACCCGGAGCGACTCGTGTTCATTTTCTGGAATCTTCCAGTGCCTCGTGTTTGTTCTGCACATGGTAGATGCCCAATAAATTGTTTCTTTACTGGAATGAACTGCTGTTGTTTTCGGGGATCGCAAGACCCCTGGGGACGGTGGCGCTGAAACCTGGACCTTGAAGAACAAAATAATTTGATTTGTGGGGAAGAGAATCACCGAGTAACCTGTCCCAACATGACTGCCAACTGTATCTGCCGCGCCGCCGCGAACAGGGGGAGGACATGGGGAAGACTTGGCGGTAAAAGAGGACAGCCTCGTATCCGAGACGGAATGGTGTTAAACGCCGGCGCGAGGTCCCTTAGAGCTTGAGCCTTGTCTGTAAACCACATGTGGGGGTCAGAGCTTTCCCCCATTATCAGCATCAATCAGTGGCACAATGAATTCTGGAAAGTCTCCATCCTTTTCCACAGCAGTCTGCTCCAGGCCCCACTCAGGCTGCTCCAGGTTTTGTTTGTGCCTCATGCTGAACTCCAAGGTCAGGGGAAAGTAGAAGTGAGGTAGGCTGTTGCCCAGGTTTTTTGACTGGCAACCAGTTCTTGCTGCTTCTGTCAGCTGCCGATTAAGGTCAGGGCGGGGGTTTGGCGGGGGGAAGGACCAGGGCTTCCACATATCCCAGAGACATGCTGGGTAGTACTGTTTCTCTGCGGAAACTCATCAGGTAGGGGTGGAGGAGTAGTGAGAGAGATGGGGTCCTCCTATCTCCGTACTGCGCTCATTGTTTTTAATCTTGGTATGGTTATCTTACTTGTGTTGTGGGTGAAATGGTTTCCGTGCCATAGAGATGATATTATACTCCCAAAACAAATTGAAGACAGCAATTTATTTGTATGTATGCAAAGCTCTTATTGTTGTTGTGCATTTACAATGAGTACTCAGTGTTATCTAGAATGTAATGAGTGAGCCACTTTAGACCTCCACCGTTTATTAAACAGGGCCTCTTGTGATCCACCCGTCCCCCAGCTAGGTGGCCCCAAATTATATGGTAGGCTGAGCAGTGGCCACTCAAATATATCAGGTCCTAATCCCTGAAACCTGTATATGTTACCTTATAAGGGAAAAGTGCCTTTGCATATGTGATTAAGTACCTTGAAATGGAGAGATTACCGTGAATTATCTAGGTGGATCCTAAATGCAAACGCAAAGGTCCTGAGAGAGAGAGAGAAGCAGACTTGATACAGGCTGAAGAGAAGGCAATATGACCACAAAGGCAGATACTGGAGTGATGTGGCCACAAGTCACCAAATGCCCGGCAGCCAATAGAGCTAGAAGAGACAAGGAACTGATTCTCTTGCAGAGCCTCCAAAGGTGGAGGGAGCCCTGCCAACGCTATGCTTTCTTCCCCATGAGACTGATTTTGGACTCCTGGCCTCCACAATTATGAAAGAATAAGTTGCTGCTGTTTTAAGCTACCGAGTTTGTGATGATTTGTTATTGAAACTGTAGGGAACTAATACATATAAGCGTGCTCATAAATCACATAGCATACTGTACTGATGAATAGTTTACAGGTCTTCAGCTGGGGCAGTAGTGGGGTACAATAGTGGAGATCACTGTATATTTATCTGAATCCTGTAAATCCTAACGAAAGGATTTGAATAGGGAATCTGATAAGAAAAGAAATTTAAGTGGTGCATAGGAAGGAGGTAGTCTGGCATTTAAAGCAATTTTTTAAGAGTATTCCTATTAAAATATCACTATTTGCTCTGGCTAAACAGAATAAAGGTAAAAAGTGGCAAAGGCTTTGTCCTTACCTTAGCTGAATCATTATTGGTTATCCATCATATGTATATTAAGTAAAAGTTGCAGACACCTGGGGATTGAGGTCCAGGCCTGGGGAAAAGAGGGAATGCAGAAGTGCTTCCATGTGTTAAAATATGGCTAAAAGCAACCACTAGTCATCTGGAATAAAGACACTTTGGAGTTTTCAGGATACAGGAAAATTCAGTGTTCAAGTTTAGTGATTCACTTCGGGGACCCAGACAGCTAATTTACATTTCCCACTTTCCTTGATATGGTTTGGCTGTATCCCCACCCACATCTCATCTTGAATTGTAGCTCCCACAATTCCCTGTGGGAGGGACCCGGTGAAAGGTAATTGAATCATGGGGGCAGGTCTTTCCTGTGCTGTTCTCGTGATAGTGAATAAGCCCCACAAGATCTGATGGTTTTATAAAGGGGAGTTCCCCTGCACAAACTCTCTCTTGCCTGCCGCCACATAAGACTTCCCTTGCTTTTCCTCTGTGATCGTGACACCTCCCCAGTCATGTGAAACTGAGTCCATTAAATCTCTTTTTTCTTTATAAATTACCCAGTCTTGGGAATGTCTTTGTCAGCAGTGTGAAAACAAACTAACACACTCCCCACATCTGCTTGCTTTTCAAACTGCTTTATAAGGTATAATTTACATACCATAAAATTCATCTGTTTGAAGTGGACAGTCCAGTGATTTTTAATAAACTTACTGAATTGTACAATCACCACACAGTTCAGTTTTAGAACATTTCCATCATCCAAAAATGATCCCTTGTACCCATCTGTAGTCAATCCCCATTCTCAACCCCAGCACTATCTACTTTTAATGTCTGACCTACTTCAGAGTTGGGTTTTAGTCCCTTTATTGGACTGCTCCAATGGATTTATGACTACTGGCCCCAGCTTCTCCTAGTGTATACTGGAGGATCATATGCCCTTGATTAAAATCCTCCAGCGCTTTGCGTTGCATTTAGAATAAGCCCCAAAGTCTTCAGTATGTGGCCTTTTCAAGGATCCATGAGCTCTACCTCCACCAACCTCACTAACATCTTCTCAGGATAGTGTAGGAAAGGAAGTGATAAGCACAGTGTTCCTTTTGGCATTACACGCAGTTGGCCTCCATTAGAAGCCCTCTCATCCCCACTTAGCTACCCTGCAACCTCATTAGCCTTCTTCATTGGGAGTCAGTGAACACTGAGCTCTTCTCATCTTTGGGCCTTTGTGATGGCATTTCCTTTTAAGAAGTTACCCTGGCCCCTGTGAGGCTGACTCCTTTCTGTCATTCAATTCAATGCCACCTCCTTAGAAAGGCCTTCCCTCACCTACCCTAACTAGAGGGGCTGTGTTAGTCTGTTTTCACGCTGCTAAGACATACCTGAGGGTGGGAAGAAAAAGAGGTTTAATTGGACTTACAGTTCCACATGGCTGTGGAGGCCTCAGAATTATGGTGGGAGGTGAAAGGCACTTCTTACATGGCAGCAGCAAGAGAAAATTACCTCCCCCTGGGTCCCTCCGACAACACGTGGGAGTTCTGAGAGATACAATTCAAGTTGAGATTTGGGTGGGGACACAGGCAAACCATATCATTCCACCCTGGCCCCTCCAAATCTCATATCCTCATATTTCAAAACCAATCATGCCTTACCAGCAGTCCCCCAAAGTCTTAACTTATTTCAGCATTAACCCAAGTCAGCAGTCCAAAGTCTCATCTGAGATGAGCCAAGTCCCTTCTGCCTACGAGCCTGCAAAATAAAAAACAAGCTAGTTACTTCCTCAATACAATGAGGGCTGTGTTGGGTAAATACAGCCATTCCAAATGGGAGAAATTGGCCAAAACAAAGGAGTTACAGGGCCCATGCAAATCCGAAATCCAGCAGGGTAGTCAAATTTTAAAGCTTCAAAATGATCTCCTTTGACTCCAGGTCTCACATCAAGGTCAACCTGATGCAAGAGGTGGGTTCCCATGGTCTTGGACAGCTCCAACCCCTGTGACTTTGCAGGGTACAGCCTTCCTCCCAGATGCTTTCATGGGCTGGTGTTGAGTGTCTGCAGCTTTTCAGATGCATGGTGCAAGGTGTTGGTGGATCTACCATTCTGGGGTCTGGAGGATGATGGCCCTCTTCTTACAACTCCACTAGGCAGTGCCCCAGTAGGGACTCTGTGTGGGGGTTCTGACCCCACATTTCCCTTCAGCACTGCCCTAGCTGAGGTTCTCCATAAGGGCCCCACCCCTACAGCAAACTTTTGCCTGGGCATCCAGGCATTTCCATACATCTTCTGAAATACAGCAGAGGTTCCCAAACCTCAATTCTTGAGGCCTATGCACCTGCAGGCTTAATACCACATGGAAGCTGCCAAGGCTTGGGGCTTCCACTCTCTGAAGCCACAGCCCGAGGTGCACATTGACCCCTTTCAGCCATGATTGGAGCAGCTGGGACACAGGGCGCCAAGTCCCTAGGCTGCACCCAGCACAGGGACCCTGGGCTCAGCCCACGAAACCACTTTTTTCTCCTGGGCCTCTGGGCCTGTGTTGGGATGGGCTGCCATGAAGGTCTCCAACATGGCCCGGAGACATTTCCCCATGGTCTTGGGGATTAACATTACACTCCTTGCTATTTATGTAAATTTCTGCAGCCGGCTTGAATTTCTCCCCAGAAAATGGATTTTTCCTTTCTATCACATAGTCAGGCTGCAAATTTTCCAAACTTTTATGCTCTGCTTCCCTTATAAAACTGAATGGCTTTTAACAGTACCCAGGTCATCTCTCGAATGGTTTGCTGCTTAGAAATTTATCCTG